TTACTAACATGGTGGATGGTAATATAATATGACACTGAAAGGATACAGGCTGCTACAGGCAGGCTTTCCACTTCCTTCTAGTGATTACCCTGCAGAGAGCTGGAGCTGATGGTTGTGCTGCTTGGATCCAGCAGTGATTTCCTTTCTGGATGTGCAGCATCTTTGCACATTGATATAATAATAGCAGAGAAGACAGTGAAAGCAAACAAAAACAAATGGCAGAGATCCCTAAATGTGTTGACTCGTTGCAAGAAGTTGCTGAGGTCTCTGCTGGGCTCCTACAAGGGAGAAGACAGCAAGTAAACTGGGAGGTTGAGGCTAAATCTGTACTCCTGCCATGAAAAATCTGTTTTTCAGCACTGGTAATGTGCTGGATCACTTGGGAGAAGTCTTGCTTCTCCCTGTGGCCACCAAGAAGCATCTGAAACATCGCTGGATAATCTCCAGTGGGGCCCTTCCTTCCCCACAAAGTGCTCCCAGGTACCAGCGCCAGCTCCAGCCCCACCACACAGTGCCCAGGAGGAAAAACCCCACACCAGCAAGAAGGTTTTTCCCCTCTCCAAACCTTCTGGGCTGCAGTGCTGGCACATGGCTCACGGGGAGCCTCATCAGGAGCTGGACATGAGGGCTTTTCAGGGAATGGCATTATCTGTCAGGAAGGGCTGTGGGATGCATCACTTTGCAGCCCAAGCATGGCCATGTACTTCAGATCCTAGCACGCTCTCAGCAAAACACCAAGATGTTTATTTTCAAAAGGACACAATGTTTGACAAAATAAATGATATTTGATTAATACCCACTGCTTTTCTGGAGTTTTTTTTGAAGGCAGTAAATTTGCTGACTGTATAAACATGCCACAGTGCTTCATCTTCCTATGCCAAAATTTCAGTTACCTCATCTCCAGGGAATGCCCTTACTAACATTTTGACAAGCCAATTTAGGGGGTTGTTTGTGGGTTTGGGTTGCTTTTCCCTCCCCATCTTTTACTTCTTAGGGAGGTCTCCCATGAGCAAGCCACAGGCTGGAGCTGAACAAAATCCACCTTTTTTCTTCATATAGGGACCTTCACCATGTCCCTAAGAGAAAACCCAAATTCCCACATTAAGGACCAGCAAGCATCCTCCAATGTCATAGTTTCACCCCATTCACTTCTGGCTGCAGATCTCATTCCCCCAGTACCTCCATACCTAACTCCTTGCTAAGGGAACAAATAACATACTGGGAGAATTCGTGATTTTCCTGGTGCCCAGCTGAGTTACCCCCAGCTGTGGAGCTCAAAAACTTAAAAATCTCTGGGTTTCTGGGAATGGCCACCTGCTTCTAGGGGGTGTGGTGTGTGCTCTGATAAAGCTTTAGCAGCACTTATCAATCATAAAGCTGCAGTGCTGTTGGAAAGGTCAAGGAAATTCCCACCAAGGCACCCAAGAGTTTGGGAACCAAAGGGTATTTTGGGCTGTTTTAGCTTAGGGCAGCTGGAGAGCCTGCAGGGCAGGACTGGGCTGGTGGTCTTGGCCAGTCCCACCACTGAGCTGTGTGCTCCAGCATGGGAAGGAGATCAGCAGCACACCTGATTGTTTGGAGCATTTGGAGTGTTTGAGTGGTTTCATGTATTTTATTTTAGAGACTTATGCAACGTCCCCTGTGTGGTCCCACTCAGCCTGCTTGTCTCCCTGCTCCCTTGGTGCTCTTGCCCACCATCACCACCTCCTCCTGCCCATCTCACCATGGACCAGCAGCTGCCAACAAAGCAGAGCAGGAGGCAGTGCCAGACAGTCACCTCCTCCCTCCCAGCACAGCAGTGCCACCCCGCCAGGACCCTGAGCTGTGCACCACCCCAGCACCCTCCGAGGCTGGAAAGTGCCCTTTCACAAGGGCATCCCCCTTGCTGTGCCCATGGCTCAGCACACACCAGTTTGGACTGAAAAGCAAATCAAAATACCTGCCAGCACAGGATTCCACGTGTCCCCCTTCTGCTGACCCACAGGAGCATGTCCAGCTGCCAGGTCTCTGATGGTGCTCTCTGCATCCTCCATGCAAGGGCCATTTTGTTTCAGCTGAAAGCTCCAGTGAATCCAGCCCTGGGTCCTTGTTAGGCCCATGCTCCAGAGGGCTTTGTTCATGGAGATGAATGAGGAATTCTGAAAATCTCCCTGAAAAACAAAACTGAGACGCTCTAGATTTCACTTTCCCAAACAGCATGAGCCGTAAGCACCAGCTGTTTTGAGCAGCTGTTCAGCGTGTTAGATTTTACCATTCCAGCACTAAACTATTCGTCAGTTGATTAATGAACTGGAACTTCCCATCCAACAAAAATATTTTGGTTTTAAATTATAATTTGATGCATGGTTAGTGCAGAAATGCATTACACATGCTAAGCACATGTTTGCATCTCATCACCACCCTCAGACAAAGGGAAAGGTGTCGGCTTCATCACCTTTTTAAGGCTGCTTGCAAACCCCTCCAGGGAATGCAGTTTTACCTTTAGTGCAGTTATTTTGCAGAATACAGAGGGGTGATGCTGCTCAGTCCTGCCCACATGTGGGACAGGGCCAGCAGGCTCCTGCCACCCCACTGCTGTGAGTGGAGCTTAAAGGAGCTGCAGAACTGGCCAGGAAGCATTAGGGTTAACTGGCAGGAGTGAGGGCTCAACCACCTGAGACAGGAAACATTCCCAAGGTTGCCAGGCCTTTATCTGGTGCCAGCACAAGGTCCCAAGCCCACAAGGCACCACTGGGACACAGTGCTGGCAGCTAACCAAGGAGTCCACAGCTCTGCACAGGGAGACATGGGGACTGGAGTCAGGTCTGGGCCTGGGTTTCATCACAAAGCTAAAAATTATCTGAAAAGGAGTTGTTCCATTGTTTGTCTTTTTTTTTTTTGCCCCAGAAGCACCTTCATGGCATAAACTTCTCTATTCAGCTAAAACTCCAGGTATTTACTCTGGGGACACACTTTGCAGGTCAGAAGTGGCCACCACTGGTGCTGAATTCACATCACTGTGTTATCGTGGTGCTTGTGCACAGCTGAGCTGCACCTGCCAGCAGCTCAAGCCCTCCTCCTCCTTGACTCCTATAAACATATTATCATATATATGATATGTATACACTCATTAATAATATATAATAATAGCAATAATGATAAAAATTGAAATAAGATCGACTGTGTATTAGCAGTTAAACCTGCATGCCCTGGGACAAGGTTTGGAATTCCAGGTACACATGCAGAGGGGAGGTGACAGGGTACCCATCTCCTGATGGAGGGGCCCCATCCCATGGCAAGGCAGGTCGCAGTACACAGAAGTGGTGCAGAGAAACAAACAGGGAAAAATTATTCCTTATTTCTCATGATGGGGATGAAACACTGCCCAAAATTGAACATCAGCTGTATTCCACCTCAGTGGCCAGGGCATTCCTTGCAAACCTCCTGTTAAAGTGTGCACAAACCCAGGGCAGGGGAAAATTCAACAGCTGCTTTTTCAGGTTATAATCCGTTATTTTATAAACTTGGCAGGTAGTGGGCTCAAAGGCTGTTTTTTGTGATCTCTGATCATAACAAAGTCTCCAGCAAGCACAGCTTTGCTAAACAGCAAAGGGAAACCAGGCTCAGCATGCCTCAGAGGGGTTTTCTGCTGAGAAGCATCAGCATCGCACTGTGCTGATGCAAGTGGGAGAACCCACCAGGCTTTGTGAGACACAGCAAGGCACAGCCCACACCAGTCCTCAGAGAGAAAACACACTGGACTTGTACTGAAAAACTGCTGCCACCCTCCCATCCTGCTGCTTATCTAAGGAAGCAGGAGCACACAGAACATTTCTGACATAATATTAGAGGAGATGATGTCCCTGCACTGGTACCAGCGATACCTGGCGAGGCAGAGGCAGCACATCATCTCTGAACAAACCCAGCAGCCCACTTCCACCCCCAGTGCTCCCAGGGGATGAAAGGAAAATGATCAGAAGGGAAGAAGCGATTCAAATTCAAGTGGCGCTAATAAAATATTCCCTTTGGTGGAGCAGAGGCTCAGGGGCTCAGCCAGCTGGAGCACAGAGAGCTGGGATGATGCAAGGAGCTGGGCCAGAACAAGAGCTGAGCAGCAGGAAGGTGAAGAAATGCCTCTGCCAGCACCACCCTTAGCTCTCCCTTGCACCACCTCATGCACCAGGACCCCTCTGACCCAGGGGCAAAGCACAGTCCCAAGAGACAGAGAGGATTGCAGCTTGGTTTGTGAAAATGTAAAATATAAAATACAGAAACATGTAAAATACAAAACCACATCACAGTGCATGGATGCAAAAAAATCAGCTCTTACAGGAATATCACATGTTACCATCACTGCCCAAACACCCCCAGCACTCACCCTGGCATGGATGGGACACGAGGATTCTGAAACCCAGAGGACAGGTCTCCAAAAATTAACCATCAGGTCATGCCATGGGTTAGCCCAGATCTGCTCCTTTGCATCAGGAGTGGTGAACTGGGAGTTAACATCTCCATGCAGAGGAGTGGAGGAACAATCATCTCTCCTTCTGCCACAAACCCAAAGCACTTCACACAACTCCACAACTCCAAGGCCTCAAATCAGAGACAGACAGGTCAGCCCCACCACTTAGACTGGGTGAAGTTTCTACCCTCCAAACCATCTGACTACACGGTTTGGAATGATCTACTTTCTCCTAAAGATAAAGCTGCTGTAAAAGAGGCCTGATGCACACAAATATTTGAAGCATGCACGTGTGTGTGAGGGGGTGTATGCACACGTACGTGCATATGCTGAAGCTTAAGATACTGCAGCTATAAACACTCTAGTAAAGGCAGATCTTAAACAGAAATATGCAACCACCTTGGCCAGAAACCAAACCAAACCCAGCCCATCCATTTAATCAGACCAAGCCAAGTGCTGGTGTCCCTGAGCTGGGCACAGTTGGTGTTCCCAGGCTGCCCATCCAGTACAACACCAGCTATTGTCTCGCACACATGGGAGGCTACTTCCAGGGCACCACTTAGAGAGCAACCAATCTTTATTTTAGAGATAGCTTACGTAAAGGAACATGCAAAGAAACACATGAGTAAGAGTCTCATCTGCCTCAGGCTCCTGTAAAAGGCTGTAAATCCTTTTCTTTTCCCCTTTCATAGCACAACACGTTGGACAGTCATTGTTCACCCTGCAAAGCACAGCGTGTACATCCCCGCCGTCGGTCCTTTGGCTGGAGCTGTGCTTGCAGGTTTCCCGTGGGAAAGGAGGTGCTTCACTTCTGAAGAATGAAACCAGGTTGTTGCACGTGCCACAAGGATGCTGGTGGGGATCAGCCACCTGCAGTGAAGGGCTTCAGGACCTGGCTGGGGGGTGAGCAGCAAAATCACCTGCAACTTGCCATGGTGCAGGTGGGCTTTGCGCCCAGGGGAGCACATCTTCACCACAATCCCAGTGCAGGACAGCTTCTCTTCCACAGCATCCTTCCTCCTGCCGAGTGTCTGATCTCTCTCCCCTGTCTTCACATGCTCTCTGTTATGTCCTGACCAGATTCCCAGGGGTGAAACTTGAATTTGGAGTAAGTACAAAAACCGCCTGAACTACAGAAAAAATCTGTATTAAGTCAGCTAGGAATGAGGGGTATGATATTTGCTGAGAGTATTTCATAAACCACAGGTGTTCTGTACCCCATGCATGTTCGAACAACTCAAAATAAAATTTGGTCTTCACCTTAACAGCAAGGGAGACCTCAGTGTTCAAAAACTGCAAGGAACACAATTTAATATGAACCTGCTTATATTTAACAGGATTATCTTTAAAAAGCACTGTTAGATATTTACTAGTTTGCCATGAACCAACACATTTTTAATTTGGGATTTTTTTCTGTGAAGAGTCTTGAAAAACTGACTCAGGGCATTTGTCCTGTTTTTGGCAATGTGCATATATTTCAGAAGAGGTTCCAAATATCTTCCTCACTAAAAAAAGGCATGGAGGGACACGGAGTGATGCCACCAGCACTGCTCACGGCTGGTGGCCCAGCAGCAGCGGGAGGACCAGGGCAATGCCAGCAGCAGGACTGGGGTGGGTGGCTGCACTCCCAGGGTTGCTGCTGGGGGCTGCAGCACCGTCTTTGCTTTGCTGATTCAGAAGCTGCTTGTTTGCAGAGGTGTCGTCCATGTCCAGGTCATACGCCAGCTCTGAAAGCAGAAGGAGAGAGGTGGTCAGTAACACGTGGTGTGTGTCAGCATTCTGACACACAGCACATCCAGCCCCCACAACAACTGGGGTTCTGGGGCAGCCCATGCCACAGCTGAGGGCAGCTGGGTCTGGGCACAGTCAAAGGCATCACAGGGCTTGATGGGCCAGAAGAGCTTAGCAAACATCTTGTCAGTCCTGCATCCACCAGTCTCAGTACCCTACACCAAATGGAGAGACCAAAAAATCCCAACTGTGAGGTGCTCCAGTAAGAAAACAAAAGAGATAAGGGATGTGCCTTACAGGAAAGCTACTCCCAAAGAAAACCAGCTGAGCTTTGGAGGGGGTGTTTAGCAATGCAAATTGTGTCTGCTCCCCAGGCACAAGAATGATGAGTGCAGGAGTGAGGAAATCCTGGCGAGCACTAACACTTCCCCAAACCCAGAGTCAGCAGAAGGCCTTGCTCACCAAAGCCTCCTGGCTGTAGGACCTGAGGAGCTCTGCATTCCTGCAATCTTATGTAAGACTGTGCAAAATATGCTCCTTATAGCACTGAGAACACATCCCATCCCTGGTCCACCTCATCAAAGGAAGGAATGTGAATGGATCATGCACTCTGGGCATGCTGCTGTTGCAACATGGTGACTTTGAGATGAAGCACATGTGGGTTTCAATCAAAGAAAACATCCAGTATAAAATTTTGGATAGTACTGGCAGAGGAGCATAACTTTAACAGAGGGGAAAGCTTGTGGCAACCCATCACTGGCTGCAAGGGACCTGCAGCTGCCCTTTTCTTGCTGGGTCAGGGAAGAATAAAGAAGTCCAAATAGACAATGTGGAAAGACAAGACACCAGCAAATCTCAGGGCCAAGAACAAAGAGAAAAAGGTGTTTTAAGATGCCATTAGCCAGATCTACCTGGGGCATTACCTGTCAATCAGCTGGACTGAGTGGGTGCACTCATGCTTGTTCTCAAGGCAGTGGGGCCCTTGCTCCCCTGCTTGTGCTGCTGCCATCTCCTTCTGGGGTCCAGGTTTCTCACCCAAATGGGAATCAGGTAAGCCTGTCTGTCCTATCCTCAGAGCCTGGCCTTGGGAGTTGGAGGAAACTGGTGGTTTCCATCAGAAGAGACCCTGGCTCAAGACTTTTACAAGCCTCCTGGATCACTAGCATGTTGGAAAGGTTTGGATCATCTCACCCCACCCCTGAGAAAGAATCCAAGAGACTGAATAAGTACTCTATCTAAAAAATGCCACATCAATCCAATGAACACCACTGCCAAGGCAAACAAGCAGTATTTCTTAATCAAAAAATACCCAAACATTGCAAAACAAAAGCAGAACAATGTTAGCATGACAAGTGAGTCAGCCCAGGCCATCAAAGGAGGTCAGAAATGGCTCAAAGGGAACAGTTTTGCATGCACACAGAGGGCCAGGTGCAAGCAGAACCCGCCTGCTAAACTGAATTCTCTAGTAGATTCCCACAAATACTGCAATTCCTCTTTTCCACAGCTTTCCTGCTTTTTCTAAAAAGTACAGATATGCTGCTGTCCTCTGGCACTGCACACCCGCAGGAAGAGCAGGGAAGAAAGGTGCCACCTTGGAGGGATGTGCTGGGAGACTTTCCAAGCACAGAAAGAACAAGTCCCTCTGGCACAAGGCACGCTCAGGCTTCAGGGCAGTTTGGGAACAGCCTGACAGCACCACCTTATTTTCCCAAGCTCATTTCTGGAAAATAAGTGAAGGGATTTGGAGTTAATAAAACACAGCAGATTATTTCACAGTTGGTTGTATGCCACAAGACTCCTCAGCTGGCACAATGCTGGATCACAACCTGCCCTAGTGTGTTTTGGAAGGTATTTCCACACATTACAAAGGCTCCTGAAACCTAAAAGATGGTCCATGGGGTCACAAGACTGTCCCACACCCACACACTCCCAGACCAGTGATCATGAGAGCTTTTGGGGCAGAATATTCTCCTAGTGGACATCCTAGCAAACCTAAAAAACTCCCTAGGAATTGAGTAACTACTCTTGCCTTCCCTTTAGAAAAGAAATTTGAAACAAAAGAGTGTTTCAGCAAGGTCCTTAACAGCACAAAGGGTTTTGACGGCCCCATTTACAGTCTTGTTCTGGGATGTAATTTATGAGATTCGAGTTCCTGCACGGGTCTCAATGCAGCAGCTGAATCCCCTTGGAAATGTTCAGCCAGTACCAAAATGAGTGTTCCAAACATATTCTTTGCGTGGGAAATTTTCCAATTCTGGGATTTCACCTCAACTTGAGTAAGGGTAATTTTTTAAATCACAGCATTTCACCCAAATGGGGATGGTGATTCTCTCTCTATTCTCTTCTGGCCAAATTAAAGAGAAGGGAACAGAAACCCTCTTGTCATCAGAGATTAGAATGCTATTTTCCTTGCCTTAACTGCTTCAGAAGTTTAGTGCTTGGGTGTGCCATTTGTTTTCACTGTTCCTTCTATTGTATCCTTCTCCTTATTTGGCCCAACTGTATTTTTAGGCGTGATGGATTTAGCCAAACAGCTTTTATTTTGTATTAATAATGGATCTGTAACCCTTGCAAATCCCTTTCACTTAGTTTGTAATGACCTTTGCTACATCAGTAGAAAGGAAAATAAAAGGTATGAGCCTCTAACAGACCTCAGGCAGCCAATCCAGGCAATAACAGCATTAAAAATATACATCACAGAATCACAGAATTGGTAAGGTTGGAAGGGATCACAGTGAGTCATCTGGTCCAAGCTCCCTCTCAAGCCCAATGCACAATGTGCCCCAGAGCACAATGCACAGGATTGAGTCTATCTCCAGTGAGGGAGACTCCACACCCTTTCTGGGCAACCTGCTCCAGTGCTCAGTCACTGCACATTAAAAAAGTTCTTCCTCATATTCAGATGGAGCTTCCTGTGCATCAGTTTCTGCCCACTGCCTCTTGTCTTACTGCTTATATTATTGATAATAAACATATTTCAAATCCAGGAACCCAAATCAGCAAATGTTCCTAACCAGGTAGTTCTTGAGAGGGCTCCATTGTAATTTCCAGCTTTTGTTAGGATCCCTGGTTAGACCTGGTCACCTCCACATCCCTGCACCTCCTGCCCCCACAGCCTCCAGGAGCGAAAGAGCCTCGGCATCAGGGACAGAGCTGCAGGATGGTTGGTGGGGGAACTGAAATTAACCTTCCACATACTCCATTTTGGCCATGTCCACCCAAAACTTTGCCCTTATGCTTCAAAATAACGTGAAGGAAGGTACTCCTCTGCCTCCCCTCTACCCAGCCACCTTCTGCATTAAACATCTCTACCACTCCAGCTCTGATCACCCAACTCACTGGCATCAGCTGCTCAGTACAAAGTGGCCCTTTGGCCTGCAAAGACTTTTGGGGGAGGGCAGGAAACCAGAAAAATCTGTTTCTGTTTATAATCAGAGTCCAGGGGGTATTACCAACAATCTGCACTAATTGCAAATTCAATCTTCACTCATTTTGGTCCCTCCTGTCTTCTGGGCTGCAGATTAGATAATCCCTTTAAAATAATAGTCAATCATTAGCTGTGCTGCTCTCTCCCCTCCTCACGCAAGCCGAGCTTGCCGGGCCGTTCCCGCAATCCTCGCGCAGCTGGTGAAAGGTCTCCAGCCGCACACAAGCCGGTCCCTCCGGAAGCATCTTTTGTAACCAAAGCCCCTCTAACACAAAGCTGCTGCGCTGTGCTCCCAGGACAGCAGCAGCTTCAATGGCCTCGCGGCGTGGATGACAAAACCCGGCGCCAGCCCTACAACGCGCGCTTTCCGCATCCACAGAATAAAGCGGAGGCATTTTCCCATGGATTAGGGAAAATGCCTACTGACTCTGCCACACTGACTCTGCACAAGCTTATTTGGCAGGAGTCATTAGAAAGCTCTTCTTGCTGAACCACTCCAGCTTTGGAGGCGGCTGAACTGGGAGAAAGTTGGGTTTGAGTTGGGATAAAATGTCCCATGGCATCTGGCACAGCAGGAGCTGGGCAGAAGAGTACTGGCACACAGGCTTCGCTCTGCCAAATCCAACACTGCCTACCAAAACACCCCTTTTCCCCCCCAAAATGGACAACATGGGCTTGAGCAAAGAACTGCTAGCAAATGTCTGGCAAATGACCTCCAAGAGCCCTGCTGCAGCAGGCTGGCTCGGCTGCTGCCCAGAGCCCAGAGCCAGGGAATGTCATCTCCCAGCCAGGCATCTGGGCTGCCTGCCTGCCAAGCCTGCCCCAGCAGATGGTTCCAGCCATGGACCCAATATAGTAACAGAGCCATAATGGATGGCCAGGCATGAAAACTGCCTCCCCCTGTCACTTGATAGCTCTGCCAGTGCCTCGTGCAGCGGTGACGGGTGTGAGGGGATCCCGACACAGGTGAAACCATTAAGCCTAACACAGCATGTTCAGCCAGCAGGGCTGCTGTGGTGATGCCCCTGATTTGCAGATGATGGAAACACTGTGGTGTGAAGGGAATGGATCATGTTTACAGTGAATGCAAAACACATCATGCAGAAATGTCACAGACAGGTAGGGCAGCTTGGCAAGCTTCTGCACCTGCCAGCATCTGCCTGCATCTTTCCTTCAGGACTGTTTTTCCCTAGGAAAGCATATGCTACCATTGCCACTGAAAATTACAATATCCAGAGCATGTTGCTTTGTTTAATTTTTTAAAGCATCTTCAGTGTGGAGAAAAGGTGCCAATAGACGCAGTAGACTGGCTGTCTCCAAAACAGGACAGGATCTCTTAAAGAGGGAGATGTTTGAGTCAAGCCCAAACTGTTGACTCATTGCAAGGTGAAGCATAAGAGGCTGTAATTCCACAGACCAGTCTGCTTCACCTTGGCTCCCAAATCTCTCCTTCTCTACAGTACTAAGCATTTCATTCCCACAGGTGTTTGCACCTGAAATGTACAAGAACTGTCTAATTTCATCCCAAATACTTCCTGGAACACCAAAAGCTCTGCTCACCTCAGCCTG